TTTTTTTTTTTTTCTACTTCGTTCTCCCACTGACTTGATGGTAGTGGTATCGATCCATAAATTATTACTGGCTGGGCAAAGTAGAAAAAGAAAGGGAAAAAAAAAAAAAAAACCGGAAAGGCTCGCCCACTGCATGACCTGCATGAGCTGGTGAGGGGTAAGTCTCCCTCACCATGGTCTGATATATACTGTGGGAAAAAAAAAATATATATATATATATACTGTGGGCAGTGTGGGATCATTTAAGGCACAGATTAAAGTAACCGCCTTGTGCCTAAACAGTACACGTCAGTGTTGATGAACAGACCATGGGTTCAAAACTTCAATCCTGATTCCTGATTAATTAATAGTATTTTAATACATTGTCAACCATAATGTTACGATCCTGGTCAATTCCGGAGTGCAAATTCACAAGGAAAGACAATGCCACTCAATTCCAAAAGAAATGAAAGCACTTGCAAAGAGATGGAGACCAAAGAATGTGATAACCCGTCCAAACGTGGACTGAAACACACAGCTGATTTCTGAGTTTTGCTCATAGACTGAATGCCCTACTGAGTTCCCGCCTGCTAAGTCCGTGTGTGTGTGCTTGCTGGACTGCATGTCTGTCTGAGTGCTGGTTGGCTTGCGTGTGTATGACTGTGCCTGTCTGAGTGCTGGTTGGTATGAGTGTGTGTGTGGCCCGCCAGGGCACTTGTTCGTTTGTTAGGCCCTCAGGGCCGGTACTTACCTGTGGCCGTGGCTTTGAAGGGTTGCAGCGGGGAAAAAGCACTCAAGTAGCGGGTAGGCCGGTACCGCACCCGGCAGGGGGGTAAATATGCAGGTACCGGAGGCCGAGCAGAAGAAGACAAAAGTGACATTTTTAGAGGCCGGTAGTGTATCCTAGGTCTAGCGGGTACCAGTCTGAGTCTAGGGCCTGTAGGGGCAATATCAGAGTCTGCAATGATGTTTCCCTCCAAAAGAGGAGGAGGTACCGGTTGCTTGGGAAGGCCAGCGGCCTGGAAGTCACCGCCCAAGAGGCAAAGCAGGCCGCTATATCTTCAGGCCGGGTGGAAGACCCGGCCTCTTTTTCGGTGTGCAAGTTTGGCGACACACTGGTGGAGCGCTGGCTGGAGCAGCGCTGCTGGGGGGGAAGGAGAAGGACATGAGGGAGGACGAAGGAGGAAGGAGGAAGGAAGGGGGAGGAGCGCCAGGGGTACTTACCTGGCTATGGTGGCAGCCCTCTTCATCACCTTGGTGGGCGCTGCAGCAGGGAGTCCCCAACTGGGGAGAGCTACACCAAGAAGCTTCAAGGCAGGGTTGGGGCATGGGGCCTGAGCTAGAGCAGCCATAGCTGCTTTGGGTTGTCCTTTGGACGTCTGGGCAAGACCTAGTAGTCCGCCATAGCCTCGGCCTATGAGAGTGAAGAGTGAAGGGAAGGCGGCCATGGCTATGGTGGACCTCAAGTGATACCTGCAGTAGAAGAGGAACTCGGACATTGATTCTGGACCAGTCATTCAACATTGTATTATTATTACTTGTCATTGTCTTTGCTGGTGTACATCTTCTTCTTCGTCGTCTTCTTTCTTACTTCTTCTTCTTCTACTCCTCTCTCACCTCTCAAGTTCATTCATTTCTTTCTGCAATTGGATGGCATTGTACTTTCCAGTGGATGTGTA